CGAGAAAATAATCAGTAGATGTTTGTTAAAGAAAAAAAAGTGAATCGTGCTATATATTCCAAATTCATATTTAGGATTTGTGGGCCGGCCCGGTGGCGCACTGCTACAGTGCGCCGCTTGGGAGCACAGCGGCGCTCCCGCCGAGGGTTTGGATCCCACATACAGACCGGTTCCCGCTCACTGGTTGAGCGAGGTGCGGGCGCGACACCGAGGGTTGCGATCCGTTGCTGGACATGAAAAAAGACAAAAAAAAAAAAAAAATTCATATTTAGGATTTGTGATTGAATTAAATTTTTAAATTGATTTGTGAAGAACAAATTTATTAAAGTGTATATTTGATTACTTCAGAATATAATATTTCTTTCCATTTATCTCTGTCTTTCTTGATAAAGCTCTATTGTTTGAACACAATTAGATTCATTCCTAGACATTTAATTTCTATTGTCATTGTTGTACTTAAAATCCTTTTACTGGGGTGTGTGGGAAAATTTATATATATACATATATACAAATTATATAAATAAGTATATAAAATTTATCTATATTATATTTGTATATTTATCAGCCATCTTAAACTCTTATTAGTGAATTGCAGAAAATTTTTTTATTTAATTGAAATGTATTGATTGTGCCTACTTATGGGGTACAGAGTTATATTTCAATACATGTATAATGGGTACTGATCAATTCAGGGTAGTTAGCAAACTCATTGTCACAAAAAATTACCATTTCATTGTGATGAGAAAAGTTAAGCTTCTCTCTTTTAGTCATTTGACAACATACAATAAATTATTGTTAATTATAGATGCCTAGAACTACTGTACACCAATTAAACATATGTTTCCTATCTAGCTGTAATTTTGTGTCCATTAATCAACCTCTCACTATTCCGCCTTCACCCTCTCTTTTGCCTAGCTCTGGTAACCACAGTTCAACTCTCTACTTCTAAAAGTTCAATTTGTTATTATTACTATTATTTAGCCTCCACGTAGGAGTGAAAACGTGGCATTTCTCTTTCTGTGCCTGGCTTATTTCACTTAACATAATTTTCCCCAAGTTCATCTATGCTGCTGTCAATGGCAGAATTTCATTTTTTTTTATGGCTGAGTAGTATTCTATTGTGGATATATATCACATTTTCTTTATCCAATCATCCATTGATGGTCATTTANGCCCAAGAGACCCATTCTTTTGAATGAGAAATATAATGGAGTTTAATACTATGAGGGGAAATTAATCATATTTCATCATTAGTTAAGCAACATAAAAAAAGTTGCGTGTTTTAAAGAGCAGAACAGTTGTACTGTATGTGATATAATCAGATTTAATGGCGATCTCAGTGTAAGATGATGATGCTTCCAAAAACTTAGACAAAGCTAAAAATATTTTGAGATGAGGAGAATAAGCTCTGGCTACTGCATTAAGAAATAGGCTATGATTGGCAATGGGCCTTTGTTGTGTACCATGTTGCTGAGTAATATCCTAGGGCATGTCCTTAATGTTAACAAAGAAAGGTGTATCACAATCAGTGATTGTATGATCAACTATCCTAGTGAGATTTATGGGATCACCAAGGATATATTCCCTTCTGAGATGAGTATACGGAATATAGCAGCTTGTTGTGGCTCATTTGGATCCCAACTGAGGTAATGAAAAAATATAAATTCAAAGGTTTGACAACCTAATGACCAAACTCTGGTATCTGATCTGGCCATATGAACAGAGCTGGGCTGTCAAAGCTAAATAGAGAAGAGAAGGGGAACGTTATGACAGGACTCAATGTCATAGAGAGGGCTTCCTTTTAAACTCTTTAGAAAAGAGAGATTAGTTGTTGTTTTTTTCCCCCTTGATGTTTGGTCCCAACATTAACACCTGAACAGACATAGGAAGTGAGTAGAAATATTTTTATATCAACAAATAGGTCAAAAGAGCTGCAGTGATTAGTTCAAATGGCTTTGTCTTATCATAAAGTGATTAATTTCTACCTTAGGTGAACAACAACATACACAGGTGAGGATACATGATTATTACACCTTAAGTTATCTCCATAATCCATTACACACAGTATTTTTAAATAAGTGCCAATCTCCCAGTTCCATCACAAGTACAATGGGTAAGCTTAGCAGGGGTTCAAATAATCCATTTTTCCTTTTAATATATCCATAATTGTTTTCAGATTTAATTGTAAGCAAATTACAAGAGTTGGTAATCCAAAAGGTGATTTGGGTTGGGTCAGACTCTTGGCCAGTACATAGAGAAATCTGACACGACACACATCAACTTGCTATACCAGGAAACCTCTGTTTCCTGTTCTAGGGCAGCAGCAGCAGCACGTGGCCCAGTAATTCTTCCCTCATCCTGTCAGGCTCACTTCACGGTGCAGAGCCTGAAACTGAAGAAGAACAGAATATTTCCAACTAGGGGAAGAATCAAACATGTTGCTCTGCAGCCTGCTGAAGGTGGTCATGACTTCGATGTGGCTAGGTAGGGAAGGCCCCAGTGGAAAGGGGACTCCTTGGTGACCCAGGGACTGGTTGTACAGGAAATGTCCTATAGGGATGTTGGAAAGGAGGGGTAGCAAGGTGTTAAAACAGATTTTTTGTGTGTTCCACACCACTTATCTCTAAACTTTTTGATTCTTTTTTCCTTCAGGATCTAGTATTGCCCAGGAGGTAACTCAAGCCCAACCAGCAATGTTGGTGCAGGAGAAGGAGGCTGTGACCCTGGAATGCACATATGACACCACTGAAAGCAGTTACAGTTTATTCTGGTACAAGCAGCCCAGCAGTGGGGAGATGATTTTCCTTATTCGTCAGGACTCTTATAACCAGCAAAATGCAACAGAAGGTCGCTACTCATTGAATTTCCAGAAGGCAAGGAAATCCATCAGCCTTGTCATCTTGGCTTCAAAATTAGGGGACTCAGCAGTGTATTTCTGTGCATTGAGAGAGGCCACAGTGAGAAGACTGTTGGAGAGAGCTATACAAAAACACCTCAGGCATCTGCTTGAGACATTCACCTGCTGTAGGAACCAAGGCAGGCAGGGAACACCATCACAGACAGGAAGTAGCTAGGACTGTGGCAGCACAGGTGTGGTGTTAGAGGGAAAACACTCACTCTTAGAAAATACCTCTCTAGGTTCATAGACCATGTCCAGAGTTATCATTCACTGAAAGCATCTTTATCCCTGGATCTTTGGATTGAAGTTAGATATACAGAATTTTTGACCAAAGATTGAAGAGAAAGAACAGTCACAATGAACAACATGCCATTTGTCCACTAGATTAAGCTGGAAGAATTGGCTAAGGAAGTTCAGAAACATATGAGTGAAAAATCAGTAAAATGAATTGCTGGATTTTCAGATTAATTTGTTAAATAAATACCTATTGAGTACATATGTTACATAAATTGTTTTAAGTAAGGAAGGCCTTGAAATTTCTTTGTATGCTTCCTTTTCAGAAATATATTATGTTGTTTTATAATGTTTAATAAATTAGTTTGATTTAGGTTTGTGGTACTACTCAAATTTACTTTCTAAATGTGCCTAGTATGTGACAAACTTTGTGCTAAGAGCCCATTGCATCGTATCTACACTTCTAGCATGGAAGAGCTCAATTTTCATACTGTAGGTTTACCCACCCATCATCAGTCTTATCCATAAAATGATCAATAATTAGTGACTTTCGGATGGACATGTGGGGGATCTCCCTCACAGAGCACAAACTTTTTTGTTTGTATGTAAAGAAGGCATCCTTTTTTCCTAAAAATGAATTAACATTTTTAATACATTATTTTTCCTTTTTCACCGTTGCCACATGCCTGATTTAGTTCCACCAACCTATTTGGCTTAATTCTAGGCCAAACTCAGAAGGCAGTTTTAAGTGAGTTTCATTACTGTTAGAATAATCATTTCTTACCAGTAGTCTTTTTAAAAAATGTTTTGGTAATTTTGCACATTTAATTCTGTCCCATTTTCCTCATGTTCAGTATTCCTCCATTAAAACAAGCAAAACAAAAAATGTGTTTAAAACTCAGAATTTCATGTTGGAATGCATTAAATGAGTATATCATCATGTAGAATACCAACTTGTTTTCTTGTTTTTTTATTCAGTAAAGTGCTATTTTTCTTAATTCATAAAGAACTTTTTATGTCCCTCGATTATATTTTGATATTTCTCACCTTTATCTTTAAATACATTTTTATGTATGTATTCATAAATATTCACCTGAGTGTATACATTTTAAATTAAATTTTCTTTTTGTGTGCATTTATACTTGTATTTAAAGGACAAAGAAAGGCTATTTTAAAAATCCCTCTGGTTATATAACTAAGACTTTGAAAGTACAGATAATTTGCAGTGTATTCATATTATCTAGACCATCAAATTTTATTTTATGGAGCTAGCCTACACTTAATTCAACACCTAAAGAGATAGCACAATAAAAAATTTACCATTGAGCAGACATGTAAATATCTAAAGTAAGAAATTAAAAATCAGGAGGTAATGTATTATCAGAACAATGCAGCTTGTTTTTTTTAAAATTTATTTATATATCCACTTATTCAAAAAGTTACAGAGTGCCTACTGTGTGACAAACTTTGTATTAAGAGCCCATTCCATCTAATAGCCTTATTAAAACCCCTAGCATGAGAGAGCTCAATTTCTGTACTATAGATTTACCTGACCCATACCAGTCTTAGCTGTAAAATGATCAATAATTACTGGCTTTTAGAGGGACATTGTGAAGGCACAAAGCATAAATTCTTTTTCTCTGTTGTAATTCTTCACCTCTCCTCCAAAAGCATTTAATGCCATCAATGTGGATCATTTTTCACACATTTAGGTCTGCTATGCTCAATCAGTTTTTCACAAGCCAAAATCTTCATTCTCTGGCTGGCCAGTTAACTTGGTTGGTTAGGGAGTAGTGCTAATAATACCAAGGTCCAGGGTTCGATTCCTATACAGAACAGCCACTACAAACAAACAAACAAACAAACAAACACCCACAAAGAAACAAACAAATACAAAAGCTTCATTCTCTCCAATTTCCTCCTTCTACCTCTAGCCCTATTTTCTCATGCACTAAAACCTGAATAGCAACAATTTGTTGATAAGTAATCTTGTAACTTTCTCTTATATTTGCATTTGGAAAGCAGGTGTGCAGATTAGAAATATTAAAGGGAAGCATCTTTAAAAAATTTTAAAGTTATTTTTAATTGTGGAAAAGTACACATACAGTATAATCTACCATCTTAACCATTTTCTGAAGGGACAACCTCTCCCTTTTGTTTCCTACACTCTTCCCTTTAAAAACCCTTCCTGAGGCTCTTGAGTCTCTGAGACAGTTTGCAACCAAAATTGTCTCCCAGCTTGTGCTTCCTGGTAATAAAGCTTCCAAACCTTGCATCAGCATCAGACTCTTGAGTCCTTTACTCCAGGTGAAGGAGCAGCCATTGTTGATTGCCAGTTACACATCCACTTGTGCCTTGGAAAGTGATCCTGAGACTCAAGTGCCAGTTGCTACTGTAGTTTGCAAGGCTCTGAGCCCCAAAACCTAAATCTATAGTCACTCTGAGCACTTGTGTTCTGCATCCCAGTGCCACTGTGGCTGCCTGTGAGCTGTGTCAGACCCAACACCAAGAGGGATCCCCTCAGCTAAGACTCAGCACTGTGAGAAAGGTGAGAATAGGTAGATCTCTAAAGCTTTTGTTCTAATAACCTACACACCCACCTTCACTGCCACAAATGCCTGCAGCATGAACAATGAAGTCATTACTGACACTGATCACAACTGAATAAAAGGCAGGGGGACTACACCACTACACCCACATTGAACCAGAGCCGCTGCATCCTGCCCAACCAACACACTGAGGCCAATCTCCAAGTGGAAGTCCTTCCTTACAAAAGCCATCCTGTAACGTTTGGAAGAAGTGACTGCACCACCAGATGCACAGATATCAACACAGGGACACACAAGATACATAAAACAGCAAGGAAACATGACACCACCAAAGGAAAAGGAACACCCAAATTCTCCAGTAACTGACCCAAAGAACTGGAAATTGATGGATTACCTGAAAATAAATTCAAAATTACATAAGGAAATTCAGTGATATGAGAGAATATACAAATAGATAATTCAATGAAATTAGAAAAACAATTCAGGATATAAATGAGATAGATATTATTAAAAAAAGAGAAATCTTGGAACTGAAAAGTCCAATCAATGAAATAAAATACACAATGGGAGCTTTAACAGTAGAAGAACTCTGTGAACTTGAACATAGGTTTTCTGAAATGCCTCAGAGAAAAAGAAAAAGAAAAGAATGAAAAAGAGTAAAGGCAGTCTACAGAACTTGTGGGATAACATTAAGTGAACAAATATTTACATTATGGGAGTTTTAGAAGGAGAAGAAACAAGGAAAGTTACAGGAATCTTACTTAATGAAATAACTGCTGAGTAAACTTTCTGAATCTTGGGAGGCATGTGAACATTCAGATCTGTAAAGCTCAAAGTTACAGAAAGAGATTCAACCAAAGAGGTTCTCTCCAATAAACACTATAATCAAACTGTCAAATATAAAACAAAAAGGGGGAAAATTTTTTAAAATTCCTTTATAATTTTTTTAATTGACCCATGATAAGCATATATATATATACATATGTGTGTGTGTGTGTGTGTGTGTGTGTGTGTGTGTGTGTGTGTGTGTGTGTATAGAGAGAGAGAGAGAGAGAGAACACAATGTGATATTTGGGTACATTTATACAGCGTGCACTGATCATATCAGGACATTTAGCATATTGATCAGCTAAAAGATTTTTCACCTCATTGTGTTTGAAGCATTCAACATCCTCTCAACTAGCTACTTGAAGTTAATACAATAATTTGTTGTTGACTGTAGTCTCTCAATATTGCTATAGAACATATAGATCTTATTCTTCCTATCTCTCTGAAACTATATCCATTGACCACCCTATACTCTCTCTCTACTTGCTAATCTCTATTCACCACTACTCTACTCTCTACCTCTATGAGATTAACTTTTTTAGCTTCCACATATGAGTGAGAACAGGTGTTTTTTCTCTTTCTGTGCTTGGCTTATTTCATTTAACATAATTTTCTCCAAGCTCATCCACATTGCTGCAAATGGCAGAAATTCATTCTTTTTAATGGTGGAGTAGTAGTCCATTATGTATATATACCACATTATCTTTATCCAGTCATCTGCTAGGGAACATTTAGATGTGTTCTAAATCTTGGCTATTGCAAATAGAGCCATGACAAACATGGGAGTGCAATATCCCTTTGATCGGCTGATTTCCATTCCTTTGGATACATATCAAGTAGTGAGATTGCTGAACTGTATGGTAGTTCTATCTGTAGTTTTTGAGAATTCTTCATACTGTTTTTTTATAGTGATATAGAGCTAGGGCTAGGATCTGGAGCTCACAGACCCCTCAAGCCTATTCACAAACCCTTCACATGCAGGTCTATAAGCTAGGTAACTGGAAAAAAGGTACTTGGAGCCTTGAATGAAGAAAGAGGAGCCTTTGTTCAGCACACACTACACTATGAGCCAAGCAGTCCACAGAGAAACTCTGAAACTCAACTGCTATTGGCAAAGTCCAAAGAAAAACCTGAGCAGCTGCCAGCAGAGTAAACATGTTCTATTATTAGACACAAGCTCTTCCTGACAGCTCTGCTTCACAAACTGAAGAACACACAATAGCAATTAACTAAAAAGATACATAGGTGCACATGCACACTAACTCCACCCACACAACTTGTTTACAAAGAAATGTGCTGCTCAACCCCCAACCAGACCTGAGCTGAGGGAGCCTAACTAAATTATGCTATTTTCCCCACAAGTAACTAGACTAATTTACATTCCCACCAACAATGTATGAGAGTTCCCCTTCCTCTGCATTCTTGCCAGCATTTGTTATTTTCTGTCTTTTTGATAATAGCCATTCTAACTGGAGTGAGATGATATCTCATTCAAAGAGAGAATTTTAAGAGCATCAAGAGAAGTGTCAAGTCACATGTAAGAGAATCCTTATCAGACTACCAGTTAATTTCTCAGCAGAAACCTTGTAGGCCATAAGAGAATAGGAAAATGTATTCAAAGTGCTGAAAGAAAAAAACCCTGCCACCCAAGAATAGTATAACCAGCAAAGCTGTTCTTCAGAAATGAAAAAGTAAAGTATTTCTCAGATAAGCAAAAACTGAGGAAATTCATTACCACTAGATCTGCCTTGCAAGAGATGCTTGAGGGAATTCTTCAAGCAGAAACAAAACAATGATAATTATTACCATGGATACATATAGAAGCACAAAACTCACTGATAGAGATAAATACATAATCAAAATCACAATATATTCCTATAAAGTAATGGTGTGTAAATCAACATATCTCTAGTATGAATGTTAAAAGTCAGACAGAAAATTAGTGAGGAAATACTGGTTGTGAATTGAACTTTTGACAAAATGGACCCAACAGACATATGCAAATTTAAGAAGTTTGAGATTATATCCAGTCTCATTTAAGACTGCAATGGTATGAAACTAGAAATAAATAACAGGAGGTAGCTTGGGGAAAATAAATTAAACAACATGCTCCTGAGCATTCTATGGGTCAAAATAGAAAACAAAAGGCAAATTAAAAAATATCTTGAGCAAAGTAACAATGAAAACACAACATATTAAAACCTATGTGTGGGGAAAATAGGATAATTTAGTCAGGCTCCCTCAGCTCAGGTCTGGTTGGGAGTCAGCAGCACATTTCTTGTAAACAAGTTGTGTGGGAGGAGCTAGCGTGCATGTGCACCAATGTATCTTAGTTTTGTAGCTATTGTGTGTTCTGCAGTTTGTGAAGCAGGCTGGCAGCAGAGAGCTTGCCTCTAACTATAGAGCATGTTTACTCTGCTGGCAGCTGCTTAGTTTCAGTTTTACTTTGGACCTTGCCAGTAGCAGTTGAGTTTCTGAGTTTCTCTGTGTGGACTGCTTCGCTGTTAGTGTTGTGTGTGCTGAATAAAGATTACTACTTCTTCAACCAAGGCTCCAAGGACCTTTATTCCAGTTACCTAGCTCATAGACCTGCATGTCAAGGGTTTGTGAATAGGCTCAAGGGGTCTTTGATCTCCAGACCCTAGCTCTAGCTCTACAATTGGCATTGTCAGCAGGATTATACCACACTATGGAATGCAGTAAAAATAATTCTAAGAGGAAAGTTTATAGCAATAAATGCATACATTAAAAAAGAATAAAGAGGGCTGGCCCGGTGGTGCACTCGGTAGAGTGCTGCGCTTGGGAGCACGGCGGCACTCCCAGCGAGGGTTCGGATTCCATATAGAGACCGGTCTGCTCACTGGTTGAGCGCGGTGCGGGCGCGACACCAAGGGTTGCGATCCCGTTGCCGGTTGTGGTACAGGCGCAACACCGAGGGTTGCGATCCCGTTGCCGGTTGTGGTACAGGCGCAACACCGAGGGTTGCGATCCCGTTGCCGGTTGTGGTACAGGCGCAACACCGAGGGTTGCGATCCCGTTGCCGGTTGTGGTACAGGCGCAACACCGAGGGTTGCGATCCCGTTGCCGGTTGTGGTACAGGCGCAACACCGAGGGTTGCGATCCCGTTGCCAGTCGCGGTACGGGCGCGACACCGAGGGTTGCGATCCCGTTACTGGTCACAAAAAAAGACAAAAAGGAAAAAAAAAAGAATAAGGATATCAAATAAATTGTTTAACATTATGCCTCAAGGAACCAGAAAAATAAACTCAAAATTAGCAAACTAAACCC